CAGCGGCTGCAATGGCGTCCAACATGGACCGAGAAATGATCCTGGCTGATTTCCAGGTAAGTGTGGAGCTGCCGCCGCGGCCTCTCGCTGCTGGTCTCTTTCTCCTCGTCGCTGTGCGGCTTGTTCTTTGTGGGGAGGTGCGGGGGGTGGGCGGTGCGGAGCCAAACCCTCCAAACCCTGCGCTCTTCCTTTCCCTTCTGTTTGGTTTTTTCCTTTGTCAGGCGTGGGGAGCGTGTGCTCTTCTCCTGAGGTGCGTCAGCAAAATGTCTTCTGTAACTTAGAGAGTTTCAGTTCTAATTACAACAACAACAACAAAAAAAAAAGGCAGCTTTTTCATCCACTTTGTTTGCTCCAACTCTGCAACCACCCAGGCCCCGGGACAGCTCTGTGCCAGCTTGCTTGGAAGAGGCCAGGGAGGATGCAAACCTCATCACTCCTCATGATTTGTCACCGTGTTTGTAATGAATCACTTGCTGGTGCTGCAGATTAACGCCGAACAAAGGTGTTTCCATTATAACATCATCACTAACTTCATGGTTGCTTCAGCCTTTGACTGTTGTAATAGTGGTAAAACTCTTCCCACCCCACTCCAAACAACAACGTGTTTGTGTAGAAAGGAAGGATATACCCTTAGAAGTTTGTTACCTTCCCTCCTCCCAACAAAAGGGTTATAATGTAACTTTAAACTCTGAAATCACATTCTCAGAACGATGTCTTTCTCTGGATAAAAGTGATTAGCAGCATGTGTTCAGGAGCCTGGTTAATCTGTGCAGTATGTTGCTTCTTTTTATATTGTTTTTCTAAGGACAAGTAAACAAACAAGTAGCTATACACATGTATTTGAATGAAATGGTGAGGAGAGCTCAAAGCTTAGAAGGGTATCAGGCTCTGAATACATATTTTTAATATTTGCTTTTCAGTCTTTTTGGTTTTTTTTGAAAGCTGTGTCTCTGCAGTGGTTTTTACATGGATAGGCTCCTGGGTGTTCTTGGATTGAGTTGTAAAACTGCTGTCTGTGTACAACTTCTTGAAAGACTTTCTCAGCTGCTAGCTGTGAAACAGTTTTTTATAAGTAATTAACTCTGTGTAGGTTTAACAAGAGTGTTTCTTTGGAATTGCATATAGGGTGACTGTAGTGTGTATTATGTAATTTCTCACAGTACTCAAGAGGTATCTGATGTAACACGTGGAGTTCCCAGTTGATAATGGGGAAGTGTTTTCCTTTTCTGTCCTGAGCATCTTACAGCTGTATTTATTAAAATGTTTAACAAATGTTCTATAATGAACCTTTCTTTGCTTGTGCTTGGAGATACTTTTGTGTCTGTATGGAGTGATGTCTCAACTTCTAGGCTGGACTTTCATAAAGCAGTTCTTCTAGTAACAGTGCACTCTGTAGCAGGAAACTGGGACCCCCATTCTGCCCTCATACAAGTGGGAGAGAGACTCTTATGGTGTCTCACATTATTAGCAGGTTTAAATTCAGGAATCTCAGCCGACGATTAAGTTAGTGTCTGGTGAACAAAGTTGTTTGTTTTTTAATAGAGTTTTTAATCTATATCTGCTCTCCAAGTTTTTAGTGTCAATGTTATTTTGCATTTCTCCAGTATTTTTCTGCTTGTGTTTTGAAACCAATTAATAAAGGTATAAGAGGAACTGCAGTGTTTGGTACCTTGAAGACAAGTAAGTATTATTGCAAACTTGCAGATGGTCTGTGGAGTCACAGAAATCAGCTGTAGATCAAGGATGACATAATGTGTCTGAATCTAGGAAATAATTTTAAGGTAACAGTGCTTATTTAAAAAAAAACAAAACAACACAGTTTTTTTTTCCTCTTGCATTTCAACAGGCAGCTTTGTTTTTCCTGTTTCATTATCTCTTTTTTAACGATCTCAAGCTTCTACCTCATTCTGAAACACTGAACCATCAGTTGTCAGGCTGTTAAAGCTTCAGATTAGTAAGGGACAATGTCAATCATTATTAGGCCTCTTATCTTTAGGCTTACAAAAAGTTAAAGGATTTTGGATACTTTAAATACTTGATGAAATTTACAACTCATTCACTAAGAATTTAAAATGGAAAATAAAACAATGTGCAAAGCAATTCTGCATGGTTTTTCCTTTTATATTTTCTGTTCCTTTGAATTAATAAATATGTTTTTCAGAGTTCTGCTGCCATCTTCTATTTTTGTGTGAGGTATCTCGTTGAAGAATGTTGTGCACACTGGAAATTTTAAAAGCAATTCTTTCTAGTTTTGTTCAGCTAATCTTTGCTGAATTAAACTGGGAGGGAAACTTCCATCGCCATTTCACGCTTGCCTTTCCCAAGTTACTTTTAAGAGGGATAGACCAGTGGTCTTTGAACTTTTAAAACTTGACAGGATTTTCCCTCCCCATAAAAAAATTTCAGTGAAGTCTTAATTATACTGATGTTTGATGCTTTTGTGAAGCTTTCATGGACTTTGTATCTTTCAAAGCCATGGGGGATTCTGCTATCAATTTTAAACTAGAGCAGGACCTTGTGTTGGATTTGGTTTCTCCTTTTAGCTCTAATGTAACAAGTTACTTCTGCATCCTGAGGTACTAAAGAGAAACACTTTAAAAGATATTTTGTATATATCCATATGTATGCATACAAACAATGAATAATTTTAGAAAATGTTTTAACTATGGAGCAAAACACAGTAAGTGATCAAGTGTTTTTTTAATGTCTCAGAACAATTCAAGTCTGTTCTCTGTGGTTTATAATTATTTTCTTCCCCTTTCCTTTTTGAATGAGGTACAGTAGGTTACCCAGGACACACAGAGTATGTGTTCATGCATGTGGGCTGTATAAGCAACCTAACTTTTCTTAGGAAAGATTATGCAGAAGCTTAGCTTTGTACATACACAGGTTGTTTTCCGTGGAGGTAGGTAAAGTAGCTGCCTTCAGCACACCAGCAAGTTTTAGCTGTTGTACTAAATGCAATTCAGAATTTCTCCACAAAGTGTCATTGGCATATAGGAAAAACTCCCCAGGAAAAAGCCAACGACTTGTGTTTGTAGCATGAATTATTTAGAAAGGTAATTGCATGTGAAGTGATAGAAGAATAGACCTCACATACTGAGGGAAATAAGGGCATGTAGTTTCTGCTGGATTTTGTGAGCATCTCTGTTCTCCTGTGTGTTGTGCTTAACTGCAAACTGTTCTTCCATGGCCAGTGGCATACCCAGGTGTTCACGTGATACATATATATTCATGTTCTGTTTGTGGTTTGAAGAGAATTGTTCTCGCAGGATATTTGTCTGGTCCACTTTTCACTATAAAGAAAAGTGCTTCCCCCCCACCCCACCCCGCCCTGTTTAAATTGTAAACTTAGTTTAACTGGCACCATTAAATTATTTAGGAATTAAAAATAATCATTGAGTATTGGCAGAAGTGTCAGATGTTGACATTTTTGTATGCTAGCTCTTTTGTTTTTACAGCTTTACTTGGGATGAGGACTAAAATTAGCAAGAATATATTTTTGTCATTACAAGTTATGCTCACCTATGGAACCACTTTTGTAGTTGTCCTCACAACAACAATTCTAAATGTAGAGTGGGTCTAAGAGTTGCAGTATTGTGGGAGTTGGTTGTCCATGTATTACAAGGATACCTGGCACATGGAGCTTCAGGAGGAAATTTTTCATAGAATTCACATTTTTCATTGACCAAATAAATAAGTAGCTCAAGGTTTGGTCTGGGTGAGAAGACTTCAGACTGGAATGGCAAAACTAAGATATACTTTTCTTTAATCTTCCATTGGCATTTGTGGTGAAACAAAGTTAGGTGAGGCTTTTTCTTGGTGCAGTTCTTTTATTCCTGACCTGGGTAAGAGGTTGCTTTGGTATGATGCACACACACATAGATGTTAAAAGATCTTTTTCATGCTTCACTTTTGTATCAGTCTTTTTCATAACAACAGAGATTTGTGGGAGCAGCAAGGGGGAATTGGGAAGGAATTTTCATCAGCTACAGAAAGGTGAGAAAGCATGCTAGATTGATTATGTTTTAAGTTATGTAATTGGCCATGACATTGATACATGAGCTTACTATTATTATTATTATTATTTATTTATATATTTTTTTTTCTCTCTAAGATTTAGCCATAATTCAGACTACTCATTTCCTTCTGGAATGGCTAAAATGAAAGAAATTGGAGAATCTTTTTCACTTAGAAGTTAACACAGTGCTGTTAAATAACTGACGAGATATATTCTTAAAGATTATTTATTTTTTTGTTGCTGGTGGATGTGAAGAACATCTGTCTGTTTCAGCCCTGTACAGGGTTATCTCTGTCACACACACTGTTTTCAATGTCTAACAGTCTGTGTGTAGAATTGACATGTGTATTAATTTTTGTGGGGGTGCTAAGGGAGCTCTGCTTTCTTCTTTATGTGTTGACATGCTGGCTCCAGTTTTCTGTCACTTTTCAGTTACTGCCAGGATGAAAATTTGGTGGTGAAAAAGGCAGGCAGATTCAGGAATAGCTTGGAGTCAGTACCTT